TCGACTGCAAAGTGATGGGGCCTTCAACTTGTTGATAGGTTGGTGAAGTCAATTCCTGAATTAATTTTTTCAATGTAAGAGAATTCTCTTTCTTAACCTGTTTTTTGGCTTTTTTGCTAGGTGATTTATTTTTAGAAGTATTCATGAATGATCTTTTGTGGGGGCTTTTAAATAGATTATCTTCACCTTCTCTATTATCTATATCTGACATATCTTCTTCTAGAATTTCTTAAGGACTTCAAATATTATATTTTTCCATTTTTCTAACAATTGATGCCATGCTTGATTTTGAATCCTGTCTAGAAAACTGATCAAGAATTTCAATACTTTTTTTGCAGTTTTTAACAGGACATACGTTTTCTTTGGTAAGTAAAATTTCTTTATCAATGCAAATTCTATGAAATACATGACTGCAAGCTAGTGTTGTGAATGACTTAATAAGACTTAAAAAAATTTCTTTATTACATAATACGCATTTATCTAGTTCTGAGAATTTTTCATTTTTAACAATAGGATCATCGAAATATTTTAGAATATTAAATGCGAGGTTTTTAAAATTAATAACAGATATTTTGTCCTGGGTTGCAGAAGCGTTATTTTGTTCTGACATAATAGAAATTTTATACACTGAATGCAAGATAAGTTTTCATAACAAAATTCCTTATATTTATATAGTTTATTCTTCATGACTAACAAACTCTTGATCTATAGATCAAGAAAAAACTAATTTCAGGCTTGGCGATCTATTTATTCACAAATTAATTAGTATAGGGAGAGATCACACGCATTTTTTGCATAATTATATGCTATTTTAATCACCTATTCGTACCTCATACAAATCTACCAATAACTCATAATGGAATTTTATAATGTAGAATGGATGGTGCTATAGTACTCATTACATATCGTAGGATCAGATCTGTAAATCACTGGCGCAATTTCCATTCTTGTCTTGTTTTAACGTCAGGGACATCAGATTGACTTGCGTAATACTAATTTAAAGATTTATAATATGCGTACTATGCCAGAACATTCCGGAAAAAAGTTGGCGGATTAATTATTCATTGATCTATTCCCCATAGATTTGCAAAAATACCCGCTACATAACACAGGGCACAGTTAAATCACATGCTCTCATCTGATGGATAAAATTCACATGAACAATGGCGCTCTTATTACTGTGAAAAATATAGGTGATGTTTTAATGTGCATATTCGAAAAAAAGAAATAATAATTTAGTTTATGCGATTCACCTGAGCATTATGTTGCTGAGCCGGAAGACTTAACTAAGAAATCGTCAAAGGTTTTTTAATCCCAAACTCTTTTGCACGCTTTTTATTATCAGGTGATAATCCAATGAAAAATTTTACTTTAATGTCTATATCATCTAAATTCTTGCCAATAGCAATAGCATATAGCTTTATTATTTTAATATATTCACTTACAAAGCTATCACCTTGTGTGGGAGCTAGTATTTGTATACCCTTTTTAGGGTCTAAAACCGGAGAGCTTGGAGGGGATGACCGATCTACCCAATTAATAGTATCTTTTATAAACATATCACTAAACGATCCTCTCATTGTTATGTTTATTGCTAATATAATTATGTCATATTTTTAATAGAAAAAATATTCTGAGTTTCTGGCGGAAGTTGGTCTAGTAAATTAACTCTATTCATTTTTTATATAGTTAGAAGATATTTCAATCAGAAAAAATTCTTTAGAACAAAGTAATGCTGATGATCTCTGCTCCAGACTAGTATTAATTATGTGAGATTTTAACAATTGTGCCTGGTCTTTCCTTCTAAATTTCTTTATAGGATGATGTGACAATAGTTCATTTACGTGGTCCTCCAAAGAACTGTCTATTTGTTTATTTAATGAAGATATTAACTTATTATATATTTTTTTAAACTTTGCAGATTTAGAATCTGTATTTACCTGATTCCTCTGCGGTACCTTCTTTTTAGAATAGTAGCATTTAACCGTTTCAGAATCTTCAAATGAACTAGAGTCGGATAAACTAGAGTCAAATCTATTTAGGGGCTCACAAAGTAAACCTCTCTTCTTATATTTTCTAATAATTAGTGATGAAACTATTTCTTGTATTAAGTCGACTAAGGTTTCTTTATCTACACATTCGTCCAAATCTTCTATTTCAGCTTCTAATAAATTGACCCTCCTTTTAAGCTTTTCATATTTGGAATAATAATCTTCCAATTTTTTTCGAGCTCCCAAATCTGTCCAAAAAGCGCTTTATATACTTCTATATTCTGCTTGTCTAATCCAAATAACTTAGCAATTTTTTCTATACGTCTGGTATCTTCTGGCACGTTAAGTGTACTATCCGATGAATGCTTTTGATCAGTTGCCATTTTCGTGATATTTTATAGTATAATATATCTTAGGCGAACAAAAAAATAAATTTAATAAACGACATCTAACCCACCTTCCAAGAAAATTTATTGTTAGTTTTCATTAAAGAGCTCGAATGCCTTTGCCTGATTATATGGTTCTCCTCTTCTCCGCATATTGACTATAGTGTATCTCTTAGATGGAGAAGCATGGTTATCAGGTAAATGCCGAAGGGCTTCACTAGCATAAGTGTTAGCTTTCGACGCATTTTTAGACCCATGTGCTACAGAAGCAAATACTGCTCCTAATTTGCGTAAAGAGCTAGGAAGTAATGGCTTACCGCTTTCTGGAAGAAACTCATATTTTTTCAGAAACATGTTGATCTAAGCTTTCCTGGATCCCTTAACTCCCCAAAACGATTACTTCCTGAATTCATGTAAGCAATTGTCTTGCCTGATCTTCATTTTTTTCCAGTGATCTAAATACTTGAGAGATGTCCTGTTGACCTCGGTTTTTTGCATATCCAGTTATGAATGTAGAGTATTATTATTACATCAGCTAAGGCTTGTTTATCGGGTATATTAGATACATCATATAAATTCAGTCTCTCCTTAACCGATTCTAATGAGAAGTAGTCTGGAAAATCGATCCCTTCATTTTCATGTTGCTCGCTACACTCCTTTTGGACTTTATTAGATAATCTAGTTACCTCCAGATTTAATGTAGCAGAAATTATTTTTTCTAAAGCATTGAGGGTCCTCAATTCTTTTCGAAACCTAGAGAGATGAGATAAGGCAATGACAGCATCAGGTGATGTTTTCTCTAAGATTCTAAATATTGCTTTTACTTCTCTTTCGCTAAGTTTATCTTGTATAATATGCTGAGCTATTTCTTTAATAGCCTCCACAGAACCAGTACTATCTAATACTTGATATATATTTACTTCTTCAGCTTTCAACCCTGGTCTCTCTGGGACCGGTGCTTGACTTTTGCATCGCCCGATTCTCTGGAGAGGAATCAATGCAAATACCTGCTCTTTGCTAAAGCCATACCCTTTTATAAGATGATTACGAGCCTGGCACCTTTTTTCTTTATTATCTGTTAAGAGCTTAAGTATTTCTGGTGCATATTGGCTAAGCTCTTCGAGACTAATCTCATTGGTAAGTTTGTAGTCTGTGACGAACTTGGTTGTGATAGCGGACATGATAAGGTATGTAGAATATATGTGGTAATTAGACTAATCCATAGTATTTAGATTATATATTGTGGAAAAAAAGGTCAATTCAAAAAATTTTCTCAGAGCTATGCTTCTTTGGAAAGGAAGTGAAAAATAATAATATAACTTATACTCTGGCTGGGAGTTTTACATTGATTTAAAATTTACAGGTAAATATGCAAAAAAAATACATAGTCACAGAACTGCCATTCCAAAACTATGAATAAATCTTTCTCAAAAGAATATTATAATGATATTTTAGTCAAGTAACCGTGTTAGAGCTAATATATGCTCCGGCCCTAAAACATCTGTTTTTGTGAATGCATCATATAAAGCACCTGGTCTATACTTCGAAGAGGTTAAATTCGGCTGATAGAGAATTTTCATGAGTACACCATTCCTCCAAGCTTTCATTTCTTTATGTCTTCAGCATAATTTTAATAATATGATCAAATTTTCATTAAAATGGTCCAACTGGACCAGATTCTGAAGTGAGGATCGTTTATTTTTTTTTTGAGTAAATAGACTCATTCCACCCTTAATGGCAGATCTCACACTAATAAGGAACCTTCTGCAAATACCTGGTATAGCTAGGATAGATAAGGGCAGAATTAAGACTGAATGGGAAAAGATGAATATATCACCCCTAATATCCTCTAAATAATCCGAAAGTTTATTAGTGTATATGAACTCTTCACAAATCAACTTCTGGAATAGTTTTTCATTTGAGTTGATCCATTGGCCAGTTACTGTATTGAGTACTGTTTTTGATTTGGGGTTATATATTTTTTCATGAACTTTACTCTTGGGCTCACACTCTGCTAATTGGCCTGATGTATTCATAGTATAAGTATGAAATGGTATGTAAAATATAGGCAAGTGTTAGATTATTCTGTAGTATTCAGATTATATATTGTGGAAAAAAGTTCAATTCGAAAAATTTCCTCAGAGCTATGCTTCTTCGGAAAGGGGAATATCAGAAACGGTTCTTGTCTAGGTTAAGGGAGCGAAAAAATATTATAACTTATATTGGGTGGTCTCTTTGGGACCCCTTCTGCTCTGGCCGGAAATAGGTTTTACAGAATTTGAAATCTGCAGATAGATAGGATAAGCAAAAAAATAGCCACAGAACCCTCATTCCAAAGCTATAAACAAACTTAAGGTCTAAGTCCTATTTTGTGATTACATTTTAATAAAGTGCTTGCACTAGAGCTAATATATGTTTTGGTTCTAAAATATTTGCTTCAGTGAATGCATCATATAAAGCACCTGGTCTATGTTTCGAAGGAGCTAAATTCGGGTGATGAGGAAATTTTATAAGTACATTTCTTCTCTATTCCTGCGTTTTTTTACTATTCCAGTCGATTTTTAATAACTTGTTTGTAGTACTATTATTATATACTTTGAGTAAAATTTTTAACAAACTTACTTTTCCATTAATTAACATAAGTAAACTTTTTTCTGGTTTATATGCAATCTCAATAGATATAAAAGAAAGGTATTCTCTCAATATTGGCATCTCATTGAATAGCGGAATCAAGAGTTCTTTCTCTTTCCAATGTATATAGCCTTCAAGTAGCAATTTATTATACGGTAACCCATTTATAATGATTATGTGATTAGTTTTGGGATTATAGATTTTTTTTTGAGATTTATCTGTCGGTTGGTCCAATATGTCCATAACTTTGTATAAAAAGATGTTTTATCTTATCATAATATCGATTAATTTAAATACACATTTTATTATAAAATTAAAAGTGAAAAGGGTTTTATATCCTAAAATACTTTTGCTTTAGCGCCTCTGGCCATGGCTTACCTTACTTGTACACATATCAAGAGGGATGGTACCGTCTGTGGAAATAATTCCTGGTGCCCTACAGGGTGTTATAGACACTAGAAATTATATAAAAAAAATATAAAAAAAAACCTTGTATTGCTTGTAGATTCCTTACTGCTTCTACCACGGGTTGTTGCCCCAAATATTCTGCCAAGCTTTATGCACTAAATTATCAAATGAGGCAAAAGTACGGGGCCGAGGTCCTGGAAAACTTCTGAATTAACTGCTGGGGAGTGAGTAAAAAAATATATTTCAAATATGTAGGCTTCTGCGGAATTATTA